TTTTTTTTTAATTCTGAAATACATTTATTATACAGCTTTATTGAGGTAAGTGTTTGAGAGTCAATATGAAAACAAATAGAAGCAGCATATAAATATAAATTAGTTAGAAAAATTAATATTTTATCATTTCTGTCTTGTTCGCCAGTCTTAAACCCTCAAGAATAAATGAATAAATTATATATTACAAATGATTTTGGACAACTTACATGAAAGATCTGCACTTAATAGAACCAGGGAGGTTTAGCTGATAGATAAAATTATGATGACTGAAAGAGCCGTCAGCAGAAATATTCTCTAATTTATGCTGATATAAACCCAATAATAATGTCGACATCTCAGATCATTGATATTACTATAAAACAGGGGCAAATTATGCTTTAAGGTCAGTCTGGTATGGATAAATACACAGCAAAAACACACAATTTTACCACGCAAATAGTAAATAAGTTAAATAGGAACTTGTTTTAAGTCAATAACTTAAGTCAATAACTTAAAATTGCTAAAAAATTACGAGTTATGAGTGAAATAATCTGCTAGTGGAATAAGACATTTTAACTTTTAATAAGAGAAAAATGCATTGCTCCATTGGCAGATTATGTCACTTATAGTCTTCCAATGGAGCAACAATCCTAAATATTTTTCAGCAATATTAAGGAATTATTGACTTAAAACAAGATCTTATCTTGCTGAACATAGTTCTCTTATTTATACTTGCACTAGAAACTAGACAAAAATACTTGGTAAGATTTTGTGTTTGTGCAGTTATTTCACCATCAATATTTCTTCAGCCTCTGAAATGGTTATTCTGATGACCCCTGAACGACCTCCCTGACTCCCTCCACCTTCCTCTGAACTCTGAACAGCTCTGGGACGTCATCAAAAACGACGAGTTTAACTCGCTCGACACAAACGGTGCTCCGCTCCTCGCGGTGAAACACGACTCGCTGTCACACCTCACAAATGTCAGACGACCCGTTCGTAATTTCACCAAGCGATTCTCAAAGGTCAGGTGTGTCGGCCTCAGCCAGCTGCTGGCGGGGGGCGCAGCTCCAACTCTGCTCTTCTTAGAAACTTCACCACACAGGATGAAAATGTTGCTACAACTTTAAATGCTTGCTTCTGCTGCACATGGGTAGATATATAATTATGTGTGTGTGTGTGTGTGTGTGTGCGTGTGTGTGCGTGTGTGTGCGTGTGTGTGTGTGCGTGCGTGTGTTTTGGTCTGTGTGGACATTCAGTACCCTGTCGCATTGAAAGGTGCATGTGTGGGGAGGCGCGCTCCCGCCGCCGTCGGGGTGAAGCTGTACGTTGCGTATGCCACGGAGGAGCCCACCATTAGACCCGTCATATAGGAAACTGTCATTGTGTTTCCTGCAGGCAGAAACAGAAACGCAGAACAGGAAATTACTGGAGAGAAACCAGACAGGAGAGGAAACCAGTGGGCTGGACCGGGCTGGATTTACAAGGACGGGAGCCCTTTGGTGTCCTGTCCACTTCAGAAAAACTCTTCTATTCATGCAAATTACAATACATAGAGCTACATGAATTGATGCCTTACTGGTTTACTGTCACTTCATCACTGGCTTCATGTTGTTCCTCCTAAAAAATATACTGACTTTATAATTTTAACTGTTTCAGTATTTTTCATATTCATCAAAATACCTAAATTTTAATACTATTCATTTGGTATGGGACTATATTTATATAAAGTACAATGCAAAACACATAATCATTGAAAAAGTGTCTTTGGTGAGCACCAAAACATTAAGCGATAAAATATAAATAATAAGCAGTAAAAGAAGCTCAAAACTTATTGATGGCAACAAACAGAGAGAGAGAGAACCTAATAAAACATAAAAAATAAATCAATGCAAGACTGACACCAAAAAAGAAAAAGAATAAAATTATGATGGTCAAACATCTAGTTTTGTTTTACTTAAAGAGCAACCTAAGAGAATATTTATTCAACGGAATCATTTTGTAATTAAGAAGACTTTCAGATGTGAAACTAGAACGCACCAAAGCTTTTTAAAGGTTGTGATTGCAGGAACTCAGAGCAGCATTGTAAAGAAATTCAAAATGAAACAAACATTCATATCAGAGGAACCTTGCTGAAGATCGCACTGACTGACCTCGGCCCAGTCGCTGCTCAGTGGATTTTTCTGTGGAATGTAACTTCAAGTTATTCACAGAATGTTTTTCTGGAGATCATATCTAACATATTTTTTTAAAAGTGAGGTTTGGAAAGCTGAAATGTCAAGTCACGATGTTAGCTGAAACGTTGCTGGCTGCCATTTGCAAAGCAGCCAATCCAGGAGAGGCATTTATTTTGATTGGCACTGATTGGTTGAATCCCCAAGAGCAGAAATGAGGAAGACTTCAGGTATTAGCTTCTGTGGTAGCGGCGCCACAATGCACATCGATTTTAGGCAGAAACTTAAACACAGCACTTCTGCCAGAGACGTCAATCTTTTTGGGCCTGTGTTGCTTTAACTTATTTTTCATTTCAGAATACATTTGGTGCTGCAGCAGGCAAACAACAGACACGGCTTCACTTAAACGAAAATGTGACACTTTGTGACATTTCTGTCATAGACTATTTACGTTCTCTCTACTGAAAAATAGTAGGAAGTGTTCACAGGTCTAAACACAAGTTCAGTGTTTTCTTTAATCTGATCTTGAAGATTTTTGATTAAAACTACTTCAGAGCAATGCAAGATGACACGCACCACTAAAGAAACAGAGAGAAATCTTTGATTTTCTCTGACCAAACGGACAGCCCACTCATCTGCTCACCTGCCAGCTCCCTCTGCTCAGGCGGTACTTTTCCAGCCGCCTGGATCATTGGCACGGACCCGAAGTAGCCGTTGGTGACTCCCATGAGGAGGGAGAAGAGACACGGCCAGGCTGGGTGGGACAGCATGGGCGCGCTCACCGGGTACACACACATCACAAACAGAGGGATGAAGACCACCCTCAGGCAGGAGAAGAAGAGCAGGCGGCCGCCGGACCAGTCGTACGGCAGCGCCGCCAGGATCTGAGGGGGAAAGAGAGAGAGGAGGAAAATTTAAGCAAAGCTGCAGGAACATTTGATAAAAGGACAAACTGATCACTAAATACTGACAAATAACAAATAAAACTATTGACCTGTCTCAAACTAATGCAAGTTTGCAAGAGTTTTTTTATATATGTTTTTTGTATCAATAATGATTTACTGATTGGTTTTCTACAAATGAAACAACTATTTTGTTTTCAATAAAATTGTCATTTTTCCAGTGTATTATTGAACAGGTAAAATTAAAAAGGGACAAAGTTGTTTTTTTCTAGATGTTATAAAATTTTCTGTGGCCTCACATGTTTTCATCTTAAGGATTTTTGGCACTTATGGCAAAAGGTTTGGACCCCTCTATCTTACGGTGATGGCAAGAAGGCAAGAAGAAAAATCCCAAAATAAATGCAACAGCTGTAATACAATAACTCCTCTTACATTATTTTATCATCTTTTAAGATATTTTTGTCTCATTTCCTCAGCAGAGTTAAAATCAGTCTCCTAAAGGGGAACTACAGTTTCATAAAGCTGAAAAGTCTGCTGACCTTCCCGACGAAGTCGGACATGTTGAATGTGGCCATGATGAGGATGGGCAGCCATTCCCCCAAAGCTTTGTTCCTGATCTCTGACTCCAGGCCAGGAAACAGGCACAGGGTGATGCTGTAGGTCACAGCTATGGACAGCATGTAGGCCCAGATGACACGTGACACCATGTAGCGATGCAGAATCATGTCTGATAGGGGAACACACACACACACACACACACACACACACACACACACACACACACACACACACACACACACATTTAATTAACTAAGTAATTTTTAAAAAAAACCCTGATGAGTCACGGTTCTCCTGTAACGCTCTGCACAAATCCAACCGGAGGTCAGGGGTTAATTGAAAAGTGAGAGGATTGAAACAGGAAGTACCTCGGACGCCGGGCCAGCTCTTCCTGATCTTGGCTTTCGGGGCGTCGAATCTCACGTAAGTCCCGCCCACAAAATCCTCGTGGCCTTCTTCTGAGGAAGATGGCGCCGTTCCTCCGTTTCCCTGTGGAGACGAACAGCAAGGCTTTCATCCAAACGTTTGGAAAACATCGAAATCATCCAAAAGAAATCTGCTGCTCACTTCTGTGACTAGACACTAGATGTAGCCAGATCACTGGACTAAAATTATTCCCTGTGAGTCAGTGAAGTTTTTATTTATTTATTTTTTCTGTTTTTTAATTAGTAATGGCTTTTTGGAAGCATGAAATCAGCTTTTTATGGCAGCGACGATTAGAGAAGACAGCTGTGAGTGAGTGCAAGGTGTTCTAATGATGTCGGAAAGTCTTCAGACTGGACAGCAAATTAGCAGCGACACACACACACACACACACACACACACACA